TTACATTTCCATTTCTGGTATACTAAAGGATATACAAGACCAATAAAAAGTTGTGGGACTAGGTGTCCTGCACTATACCACATGCACCAATTTTTTTTCATGTAAATATTTAAATAAACCTATGCTACTAAAATAGTTATCCATATAGATGTTAAAAGATTTACCAGTTGGCAGTTTTTTTAATAAATGATAAACTTCACATCCTGTTTGATTAACTCCTGGTATATTTTGAACCAATGGATTTTTTTTTATTCTTGATGTGAATGTGAAATTATATGTGTATCCTGCATCACACAAAGCAAATACTTTATATCCCTCAGGGGTAGGTTTATTTTTCATTCTAATAGTATGAGGACTTCTACCAGAAAATCTAATGATCATTTCATCAACTGATAAATTTGAGGAAGGAAGATAATACTCCATGCAACTATTTAAAATACATGATGCAAGTGGTTCAATTTTGTGATACCATGGAGTATCTTCTTGAATATTTTCATTTGGATCTGAGACATGAAGGTATCTTTTTATTTGTTCAAATTTGATCAAGGACATGTAATCAGTAAATTTATGCCATGGATATTTATCTGAAGTTTTCCAATAATCTCTCATTGATGGCAATTTAAAAATACCAGAATATATTACTATTCCCAACCAAATTTTAAAATCACATAATTCAAGAAGATCCCATTGTCTTCCAGTTCCAGCATCTTTTTTATCAGCATAAATATTTGTGTTCCATACAATGGTATTTAGAACATCAGCAGTAAAGAACAAACTAAATAATTCATAAGGTGTAATATCAATTTCTGAAGGCAATAATGCTCTAGATTCATGTAATGGATTTTCATGCACAAATTTATTAAATGATGGAACTGGTGGAAGATCAATTGTCTGTAAATTATTTTCATTTCCTCCTCTACCTCTACCTCTACCTCTACCTCTACTACTTCTCACCCTTACTCCATCCCTTCTTCCAGTTTGATTTTCATTTCTATCATCATTATTAATATCAATTAACATGTGTCCATCATTTTCATTGTTAGTAATATGATCAATTTGCATTTGATCTTCTTGATTATTATTGTCATTATTTTCTTCAATATCATCTTCATTTATTTCATTTTCATTAAATATAGTTAAAGGTCTTTCTCTAATAATATTGCATAAATATTTATCACTTCCACCGAAATTTTCATGTTGTTGAATGATTCCTTCCTCTGTACTCATTTTTTAAAATAACTGGTATTAGTTTTTTTTTTTTAAATTAATTGATTTATTTTTAAAAAAATGAAAATTTTACTTCCCTTTATATACTCTTGCTTTGGATGATGATGGTACATTTATTTTTGCTTTTTTTAATTATTGGCAAAGAAATTCGGGCAAAATTTTCGGGTGTTTTGATGATCTGCAATATTGTTGTACAAAAAAATTTCCGATTTTTTTCCAATTGCATGACTTTTAAAGAAAGTTATACGAAAACCACAAGGACAACACTCAAAAATTTTTTTACAGACCAATTGGCTGAATCTCAAAGATCATTTTCGTATTAGGAAGTTATATGCTTAGAGAAAATTTTTATATCAGAAAAATTTTATCAGCTATCAATAGCCGATTAACCGTTAAGGGATAAATATAAATCTAAATTTATCCTTTGGTGTCCTTCTAGCTTCAACAATTATTAGTAAACTCTAAGTAAATTGTAATATTTATTTTCTACAAAAAAAAACCATCTTCAGAAGCACAAAAGGGTTTTGACATTGAACATTGTATTTAACTTGATAAAATTAATTTAATTGATTCAATTCAAAGTTTGTTTCAAGTATCAATTGTCAAACAAGTAAATGATTAAATTTTTATTTATTTATTAAAATCTTGGAGGAAAAATAATTTAAAATACTTATGTTAAAGTGTAATAATATATATTTATGCTTTATTTTCAAAAACTATCTTTCACTAAACAATACTCTCCATTGCTAAAGAAAAAAAAAACCAAATAAAAAATAATTATACACAGGATTAGTATGTATGTGGTTACAATTATGAAGTTGTATAGATATACAAAGTCAAGATGTGACAACGTTATTTATATTAATATGTTCTAGATTCAATCATCTAGTTCCCTTATTTCTTGGTAATGTAATCACTTTTTCAATTTAACACTTATTGGCCAGTTGATACTACAGATATCAGAACCCCTAAATTATATATATCTGATACTGTTGTATATGGTTTCTCCTTTAAAACTTCAGGCACGAGATATGGTAATATTCCAAATATATCATTTTTGTTTGATGCAGATGTTTGTCTAGCTGAGTATGATAATCCAAGTCTGTAATTTATGAAGGACTAGAATATTACCAACATGAAGATTACAATGAATAGTTTCTTCTTTATGAATATATTTCTTCAATAATTTCTCTAAGAGTACTAATTTTGTCTTCTCATTTTAAATTTTTAAAATCCTCTGTTAAATAATTTTTGAAGACTTATACCTACCTTCCATACATTATATTCTTTTGTAACTGAATCTTGTGTTGATCCATAAATCATATTATATGAAATGATTTATCATGAAGTTTCACATAATTTTTGAATTAACGTAACAAATAAAATATTTTAATTACAACAATAACAATCAATAGTATTTTAAAATATCTGGAACTAATATTAATAGAATCGTTTAATGAATGACACACAGTCATATCTCACTATACCTTAAACGGTCAGAGTATTTCTTTAATGTTAACACAAAATCACGATCTCGGATTCTTATTGGTCAATATAATGATCAGCAAAGTAAAAATAGCCAATTGACCAACTAGCATGGTGGAAGTTTGTTGTTACACGAAATGTCATACAGAACTCATTGCTCCTGAAACTTCACCAGTATATAGTTGTTACCTCTATAAATTGGAGATCAAGCTCAGATCCAATTTAAATCCAGTTTATCACTTACTTTTTATTGCCAGAATGTTTGCCTTGTATTGTAAAGCTACGTTGCACAATATAAAAAATTAGTGCAACATTTCAAATTTCCACTATGCTCGACCAACTTTTAAAAGAAAGTTATATAAAAACCACAAGGACAACACCCGAAATTTTTTTACAGACCGGTCAGCTATATCTCAGATATCATTTTCATATCAGGAAGTGATATGCTTAGAGAAAATTTTATATATCAGAAAAATTTTTATCAGCTATCAATAGCTGATTAACTGTTTAAGGGATACCTTTCTGTATATTTATCATCATTTAACCAAGTAGCTTTGTATAGTCTTCACCTGTCCTTTAAATATTTGCTAAATCATTATAAGAAGTCCATTGAAGATAATAATGGTTTTCATATCTTGCATATCTTGTTGATTTAAGTTGTACTTTTTTTTAATCAACTCATCTAATGTTTCATTGCCACTAGTCCATCCTTCAATTACATAAAAGCTTTGAATCACATGATTTACATTATCCTGAATAAGTATTATATCTATTGCAAGTTGGACATTTTCCATACTTTTCTTTTCTTTTATATTTATATAAATCTTCATAATTTTGAAGACTTCCATCTCATATATAATCTATTACAAAAATATATTCTTTGTAATTGGATCTTGTGTTAATTCAGAATATCTTTATAATATATTGTGTTTTTAAAAGAAAAACAACTTACAAAAATCAAGAGAGAACTTCTAATGGTTTGTTTGGTGAAAAAAAAAAAATTTTTGATACTGAAATTGAGCAGGCTATGACATTGCAAATAAATTCAAGGACAAAGAAATTCCTATTTTCAATGCACTTTTCAAGATTACATTGGAGTGTTTACACCATTCCCATTCTTCTATATACTATATTATATATTCTAGAATAAGAAAATATTAATATAAATGCAAAATATAATAATTTACAATTGTTCTAGAGCCTGTATGTATTATATATGCTAATGATGAATGACTTGCATTATTTCTGTATATACATGTAGAAGTTTTTACATCAGTGCTGAAGATCTTGTATTAGAAATCTAAACATATATTTTTTAATCATACTTCTTTCCGAATTAAATATACATATAATTAAGTAAAAATA